GTGAAGGAAGTGCTGATGATTTAATGAACGAAAGTGATTGCGCGACCTATATCATTCTCGATGAATAGTTAGCTCCAGAACTGAGCATGTAATGGATGTGGCATACAATTCACCGAAGGTCAGAAATAACTGTATGATACCATCTGTCATTATATATCGTTTTCTAAGATTTCTCATAGTGGTATCGAAGGACAGTCCTTACCTAGGTAGAATAACTTCCTGAAAGACAGGACATGATTTGGTAAAGGTCTGAATCCAGAGTGATAATCAAATAATCAGCGCATTGTATCCCAAATGATTTCTCTTGAGCCTTCTTCCAAGGGTGCCTGAATATCATTTAAAAGGAGTGTAGACTGACGAGACTACGTGTCTTTCCCTTGGCCTGACTCGGAACCAATCGGGTATACTACGGACAACGCGAGCACAGTAATCACGTGCGTGCAACAAACGCGAAACCGAAGCATGAGGAGAACTTCGGTCTTCTTCGCGAACGCTGACCATGTAGAGATCGAGTCGCTGACTACCGTTTATCAAGACTATTCGTTTACGTGCAGTTGTCCAAAAGAAGACGTAGATGGCGTCAACAAGTATTTGCCAAGCTACACTTCCTTTGGGATATTCGTTTCGTTTGCTGATGATTTTATAGTTTATCTAGTCAATTACAACAACCCAAGTTAAATTTAATCAACTTGAGATCTTGTTTCTGCCAATGACATGAATGGTTATAGAAAATACATTATCCTTCGATATAGACAATATAGTTACTGACCTCTTAACAAGTAGATTCAAACGTTACAGCGAAATATTTTAATGAAAGAAATTTCATTTTAATGAAAGAAATATCTAACAGCTATGCTCACAGTGTTTCTTATCACACATGACTTATTGTCAGGGAGTGAAATAAGTTAAGGTTTGATGATAGTACGTATATGCATCCAATTGGTCGTATACGTGCATCTGATACAGGTGTGTATTAGTTTTAAGTGTAGTTTATTTCTTTCTATCGCCCAAAACAAACAATTGTAAGCATGAACATGATCAAGATAAACATAGAAGTAAACACCACAAAGTACAGCCCGGGACCTTGTGATTCTCATATTAAATGCCTTGATCGTTGGGTTATGTAAATGCAACTACTATAACAGATCCCAGGATAGCTATCTGAACATGTTGAGCACGTTTTTAAAAGACAAGAAAATAATAAATAATAATAAAATGATAAATCACTCATATTCAAAACATGCAAAGACTTGTTACATTCAATGTAAAAATCGTTTATTTTATACATACAGTATGTGAATACTATATAGGACTACCCTGACTCAAAATATTGGCATTTCATTTTAGCTCTGTAGTTTCGAGACAATGAACATCTCGGACAAGTTGTAGCCAGTAAAATTTTGGTTAAAAATTAAATCAATTTTAATTAGAAGATTAAGTGGGAAAGAACAGTACACTGGAGATCTGAGAACAAGACATTTTGATAACAGCCTACCAGGAACAAACTTTTTGAGGAGGACTATATTGTAGTTTTTAACATGTTGGACAATCCCTGAAATTTCTCTTGGTTCATTTTAAAGATGGCTGCCACCTCGATAAAGAAGGACATGACAAAGATGTTTGTTGAGGTGGAGCGAGGTGACACATTCAGGTCCGATATTACAACAAGCCGATCTTATATTTTCGGAACTGTCTTCAAAGACGAAGTGGTTCTTATAGATAAGGAATTTAATATCTATACTACGAGCCTAAAATTGAATCAAACCTACAAGTTTCGCGAACAAGGCAAAAACATTTACTCCTGTGCCCTACTCAAGGATGACAAGATTGTCTGCGGAACAATCCATGGCACAGTCCTCATATACGATCAGCACTGGAGCCTTATCAATGAAATCGACCTAAAAAGACCTCCTATTGGTTCTTCGAATACTTCTCAGTATGTATGCGTTGACGTTGATGAGGACGACATGATACTTGCGGCCATCTTTGGTGATACCGTTGTCCAAGTCTTCAGCGCTGACAGCAGCGAAGCCAAAGAGTCCTTCACCGCTGATGACCTTCCAATCAGGGATATCCGCGCATTGTCAAATGGAAAGGTCATTGCGCGCATCTGCAAGCCCAATGGCACCGACTTGTCCTTCGTCAATCACTCTGGAACGTTGGTCTCCCCGTGGTCGTCGTTCTTTTACGATAAATACATTTGGAGCGTGTCAGTGGATCGTTCTTGTGACGCCCTCTACGTCATATATTGGGATGATCAACGTGAGGTCTACTCAGTTTCTGTTGTTGCTCTTCTTGTTGGTGATATCGAGGACAGGATCATTGATTTTAAAGGATCCGAGGACAGATGCAATGGCCCGACATGCGCAGTTACCGAACCGGGCAAGTTTGTCATCTATTATAACGGAGAGTTTCAAAGTTATCGAGTGAAAGTCCATCTACGAAATGAATGATCAAACAACCATCATTCTTCCCGAGAAAACTCTCCAAGAAATGTTCATCCACCCTTATCGATGACGTGTACATGTGAACCTCTTACGGACTGAAAATAAAATTAGATAGTAATGTTATTGTATATCCATGGAATCCGATGGTAATATATGGTTATCTGTGATGGTTATATCAATTTGTATTTGGGAATATAGTAGTTTTAAGGCAGGGTAATGTTCATGTATGAAATTATTTAATGCCGGAATATCTTCTAAATCCATAATCCTTAATCCTAGACAAAGTGTGATTTTGTAATTTTGTAATCTATAAACATACTATCTGCTGTGATACTGCGATCTAGCACTGGATGTAATGTTCGATTTGAAATTCGACTCTTTCATTATTATTTAACTGGTATCCAGAGTGTAAATATATTTTTAGGACCCTATTAGAAATAAGGTTATTGGCAACTTTCATTAGTTATCCTGCCAAGGTAAATATTTGTTTTAGCTTTATACACTTCTTATGCTTTATTATATAGCATACTTCACGAATAAAATAAAAATCATTGTGGATTTCGTAGTAAGATTACTGGTACTATATGTCTGTATGACTTGCACAAACGCTTTTACTATAATTAATCAATTTAATTATAATTAATGTGTAATGTACATGTTTCTCTCAAAAATCGTCTGTACTTCATTGGTTTATTTAACCCTTCCATACAGACTGTTAAAGCAATCCATTGTCGACAGAATGCGTAGCTTTGTCTTTGTACAACATATTGTTATTTTCACAGCTAACTAAATTAACGTACTTCATAAAACAGCGTTCAGGTTAAGACTGTGATATATATTTCGAGGATTGTAATACGGATCATTGAGACTCGATCTTTAAACCTTCTTCATTCTCAAGCCATTGAATAGTTGTTGAAACTAGCACTTGATTATGACAAGTGAACAAAATATTGTAGATATTCAACAATGACCGACGAACTTTTTATAGTCTGCTATATCAATCCTTATTCGTAATCATGATATTTGCTGTACATAAATATGTTGAAGCAAAAAATAATGTAAATAGTAGAGATGACAATGCTACCATTGTACCTTCAACAATAAATGACGAACTTGTCATTGCCTGTGAGTAACTGGATATCATATCAAACAGTCACATAATATTTCAAGATAATTATGTTGTCTAGGGCACATCCAGGGAAGCTTAATGCGACAATCGATCTCAGCGTAGCAGGACGATTTTGAAAATAGGTGCTCCACGTCTGTAAAAGAATGATGAAAATCCCCTGGACTGACAAAGTTAGTAATGAGGAATTTCTTACACGAGCTGGAGTGCAAAGGAAAATGATACGTGAGATGTTGATTAGGCAGTTGAAGTTCATGGGTCACATTACACGTAAAGAAGGCCTAGAGAATCTTGCTTTGACAGGGCAAATTGTGGGAAGAAGGAGTAGGGGAAAAAGGAGGATACTTTGGATGGACAGTCTGCAGAAATTGTTGGAAGAGAGAGGAGTGAAAGAACTGGGAGTGGTACTAATACAGAAGGCTAGGAACCGACGGTTGTGGAACAGCATGATCGCCAAAGTCAATCGATATGGCACTTAGAGAGAGAGAGAGAGACGTCTGTAAAGTATGCATGACCAACAGAGTAAGGTCCACGCATGAGCTTCGACAAGTGGAAGGGAGTGCCCTTTGAGCCCCCTCCTCCTGTCCGTCGACTCTATGAACATAATTCCACGTAGACATAAGTAATTATGTGATCAATTTCGAAGAAATCTAATCGGAGACAATGTGAACAAGAGCTAACATGTTCAAGGAGTAAACATATACCGATAACATCGATGCGACCACTGTATAATCCGAATAATGCGAATTTGTTAAGGCACGTAAATGTCGTAAAGGACAATGTTCGATAAAATCAGAACAACAAAAGAAAATGACGAATATTGTCATGATTTTTTGTGTTGTTGGTTTACTTTTTACGGTGTTTGTCATTGAATTCATTTCTTAATAAAAGCCCATCCCCGCTTGAGAGGACGTAAAGCCGTCGGTCCTCTGGTTGCTTACTAACAAGCATTTATGCTTTCTTAGCAGTCAGGTAAAATAAGCACCATTAAAAGAACTTGTGCCGTTCGCATTTATTGCTAATCTTTTGTATCATGAGTTAAATTCGTTTCATACAAGGAAGAAATACTTCATGCGTATCAGCCCATGAATATAACTTCAATTTTTTTAATTGATTTTTATCCCCATTAACGGGTTCATGGATTCTTCGCCAGCTGGCAGTGTTTACACACTATAGAACAAAAGTATTATATTTCTCTATTTCTCTCTCTCTCTCTCTCTAGCTCTTTGAGTCTGAAATTTTTCTTTATCTGTTTTTATATCGCCTGCTTTATTTTCGTTTCTCTCCATGCCCCTCCCACCCCCTCCCCCTCCCCCTCTCTCTCTCTCTCTCCCTCTCTCTTTTACACTCTCTCTTCCTCATTCATTCTTTCTTCTTGCTTTGTTTATCGTTCCCTTGTCAATAATAAACTCATTCAAAAAATAAACTCATGATTCACAGGTAAGATTTATTTCTTCATGATTATAGCTGTACCTGCATCAGTATAAATAAAGTATGAGTTTGAATTATTAATTCTTAACACAAATCCGAAGAAAACAAAACAACCAAGACTCTTTTCCTGCGAGACATCAATTTGAAAATACATTAATTTAGATATCAAAGAAAATGGAAACTTCTTATCAAATGCACGAATTCAGATGCATAAATAAAGTCATCTTGTTAATAGTTTCAACATTATACTAATTCTGGAAAGGACATCAGTTGTCAAGAATTGGCGACAACTTATCATTCAAAGAGTAAAAAGACATCAACGTTATACATGTATTTATGGTTTCAGTTTGTAAACGTCCACAAAAATTAATTTTCCCTAGAAATTTAACAATACTAAAAGTACTGAAATATTTATTTAAAAAAAACAGTTACATCATCATAGCAACAGTTAAAACACAGGATTGAAAGGCAGGGTGTGAAATTATAAGAATGAAAATCAAGGGAGTTTTTGTAGGTAATGTTTTCAGGGTTATATTTTTTCAGAGAAAGAGGTTTTTATCAATTTTATGAAAACGAATGCTTCTCTAGTTATACTACATATTAAATGCTTTTTGGCAACGGTGCCTGTTCTTAACATGAATGTATTTTCATCTGGTATTCCTTTCAAGGTAAGTCGCTTAATTAAAATAGTATTACTTGTGACTAGAGACAAGAATATGGGTCAAGTTCATTTCATTGAACTTCATAAACAGCACGGAAGCCCTTGCCTTGCACGGTGGCATCAGACCTGAATAGTAGCCAGACCTCACCCGTGTTCAACTTCAGCTCGTTCGGCGGTGGATCCGAGCCGCAGAACCTAGCATACATTTGAAAAGAAAAAAACACCCGATATTATAAGTGTTATAAATCTCGTACCCCGCATTGGTTGAGAGTTTTAAAAATAAATATATAAAAAAATCTATATGGGCAATTGGGCTTCAATCTTTGATACATGGATCTCTTTGACGTTTTGATTCATAAATAATTTATTGGCTATCATACACATAAAACCTGATTTCTCATCATAAAAAAGAAGATTCTCAAACTTTATAGCAAGTTAAATCACCATATATTACACACTTTGAGAACCTATGGAACCAATCGATAGTACTACCTGTACAGTTCAAGAAGATATAATAGGATTGTACATCAACAAAACTTGTATAATTCTGTATGAGGATATCTTAAAGAAACTGCCTGCAATTAACGATTTTAACTTTCACATGATTTCAGCATTGTTTGATATCGAGTAAAGTTTCGTTATCATGCTCATAAAATAAATAATGCAATTGCACCGAGATTATAGAATATATTCAGACGAGGTGGCCGAGTGGTTAAGGCGATGGACTGCTAATCCATTGTGCTCTGCACGCGTGGGTTCGAATCCCATCCTCGTCGCTAAGATTCTGTTTTAATGATCTTTTGAAAAGTTTTCATAGCTATAATTTTTTATAGAAATGTTACCCCCCCCCCCACACACACACACACACACACACACACCTCTGCAAACAAGAAAACCAATAACACTGTTCAATTCAATTCAATTCACATTTTATGAAAACCTCTTTCATGAAAACTTTCGTTTTGACGCACCTCCTATTAAAAACGCAAGTCGACTCTGATTGGTTGAAAGTTAAAAAAAAAAAGAGCTTTGTATAGGTCTTTGATACATGGATCGCTTTGAAGTTTTGATTTATAAATAATTTATTGGCTATCATACACATGAAACCTCATTTCCCATCATAAAAAAAACCTGTAGTTAAATCACAATATATTACACACTTTGAGAACCTATAAAACCAGTTCAAGAAGATATAATTGGATTGTCCCGGGGATTATATCACATTAATATGATTAAAGATGTTTTTCAATTATAGATCTCCCACCCAGGTATGGTTCTTCAAGAAGGATTCTTTTAAATGTCCATTACATATTTTTAATTATAATGGTCACATTCTTTGGCAATGAATGACTGCTTTATCAAATATTTTATAATTTTATTTTCATTTGTTAACTTTTAATCTCGTACCTTCCTATATGCGTTGAGTTGGCACCACCTTCCGGACCGTCAAGGATCTCGAGATAGTCAAATTGGCAACTCGATTCGGGTTCTATATCGAATTTTTCAAAGTGAAAAGCAATGACACTAACATTCGATATGGTCCAAGTACATTGTAATTTGCTTGGATAGCCGGTCGGGAAGCCGGGGGTCGCAATGACTCCTGATTCTGAAGAGAAAAACAGAACAAGAAAAAGAACAAGTGATGTAAACAATAACTTAATGTGACAGTGAGACGGGTGAATTAATTTCCCATCCTGAACTATCCGATTGCATCAGCAATAACTCAGATGAAATTGATATCTACAAATGAAACGTTCTTAAGGTTGTCAATGACAGCTTTGTTCTTCTCAACAAGCCCCTCCTAAAGCACCCGGGTCCCTCTAACTCTCCTCGAAGCCCCTTGCACCCCTCCTAAACTCCCTGCCCACCAAACTACCCATTTCGGATAATTAGCTCAGTCTTTAAAACAAGAATAAACCATTTTCGTAATGTGCCGGTAACCAAATGTATGCATACGTCTTTGTGAAGCGGCTCGATACGAATTATTTCATTCATCTGTTACGAATAATTGTATTTAAATAGTCAGAATGCAAACTACATACCTTAGTCGTTGTCCGATAGGACAAACATGGCTTGCATTTTGCATTTTGACTTTTAAAAATCAATTATTCATTACAGCTGAATGAAATATTTGTATTGAGACACTTCTTAAAAGTGTTACTTCAAAACCAATAACATGCGTTAATCGTCCATAAGCCGTTACTTGTCCAGATGAAAATTGGCTTCGTAGCTAATTGTCCCAAGAGAGGTCATCACATTGTATCGTTATATTCTTTTATTAATTTATGATCTCTTTATTTGTGAAGAATTTTTTATATATTTTTTTTATTGAGGAGTCATTCCATATATCAAGAATATACTTACCATTTAGAGGTCCGCCGCATGTTAGCACGTAATCATCAGAATCTCCTGTCGTGGAATAATCCATGAGAAATGCGCCCTCATGAGGCCAATCTGAGTGATAGTGAACCCAGACTCTGCTCGAGGTAGTATTGTAGGTGTGTTCCCAGCCGTTTTCGCCGCATACTCGTGGATATTGTCCAGAATAGGTCTCTTCACCACGTACGGAAATGTAGTCTGCACACGAATTGTTGCTCGACCACTCGAATAATTCTAGACTGAAATGCACAGTTAACCAGAGGACGAAGTTAGAACAGAAGGGAAGAGAACTCAGTGCAACCAACCCACTGAACTGCACTGAAATGCACTGAACTGAACTAAACTGAACTGAACTAAACTGAACATAATGTTTATAACATTAATGAACTAAATTGATATGGTTTCAGTTAAAAATAAATGGAACTAAATGGAACAGTAATTCAAATCAAATATAATCTATAAGGATTTGCATAAACTGATTTGAAATGGGGTAAAAAAAATCAACTTAACTGAATCTGATTGTAATGAATCGAGGTGAACTAGATTAAACGTCACCAAATGATCTGAACTGAACTAAATTGATCTGTCATGACCCGACTGAATAGAATTAAACTGAATCGAGATAAATTGATCTGTACTGAATCAAAGTGATATGATAAGGTCTGAACTAGACTAACTGAAGTGAACTGAATTGAACTGAAATAAATTGAACTAAACTTAAGTGACCTGAACTGAACTGAAATGAACTGAACTGAATTGAAATGGATATAACATTACTGATCTGAACTGCAATGAACTGAACTACCCTAATTATGTCCCAAGATGATCTGGTATGTGAACTGAGCTACATGATCTCAATTGAACTGTTATTAAATGAACTGAAATGAATCGAAATGAACTGAATTGAACTGAACTGAATTGAACTGAACTGGAGTGTCTAGAACTGAAATGAAATAAATTAAACTGAACTACATGATCTGAATTGAACCGTATTGGACTGAACTACATCAGTAATATCCTGAGATGATCCGATACGTCAATGATCCAGACACAATGGAATGAATGTTGTTGGTCGGAACTAAATTGAACTGAACTGAACTGAATGAACCGAACTGATCTGAGCTGCAATGAACTGAACTGAACTGTATTGAACTGAACTGAACTTAACTTAACTGAATGAACCTAACTGAAATAAATTGAACTGAACTACGTGATATGAACTGAACTGCGATGAGCTGAACTACCTGAGCGATATCCTGAGATGATCCGGAACGTCAATAAACCAGATACAATCAATGGAATGAGTGTTGTTGGTTGGTATGTGAGGTCGAGTTATAACGCCCTCAACGGCGTTCATAAAACCTCCGCAACCGGGAACCACTGTATTGAATTAATTGTTCAAGATAAATATATAAAACGAGCAAAACACGTGCATTGATAAAACAAATTCGTAGTTGGAATACAAAGCAATCTTGAAATTCGATGCTTCCGCCATTTACCCATGCACTGCCTGTAAAATTTGTTTTGAAAACAAACTTGCTTTGAATATAAGACAATGAAATCAGAAAAGGAGAGAGAAAGAACTTGGAGGATACTTACAGTACTGTATGTTAAAAAGGTATGGAGATAAAGGGGGACATATGGATATTGAACATCCGTTTTTGTTGCCTGGTATGTACTTTATTCTTATATCATTATCTATTGTCGATAATATTAAAAACCAAGCTTTTCATGACTCTAAAACTTGCAAATTGTGTGTGCCCCTAACAGAAGCGTAGGGATTCTAATTTACAATTTGGAAAATAACATAACATTGTCATAAGGATCCTTTTAAAGGTAACTAATTATTCCAGACTTAGCAAGAATCGCAACAAACAAATTTACACAAATTGGAAAATAAAATAAAATTGTCATAAGGATCCTTTTAAAGGTAACTAACTATTCCCGACTGAGCAGAAATTGCAAAATATATATAATCTTCCTAGAAATTAATTTGCAATCTATAGTGACAAAAGATGAAATAGATATTTACATTCGCAGCTCATCCTATCAATTCCCATTATGAATGCCGGATCACACGAACACGCAAACGCTCCATACGTGTTATGGCAGTAGTGCTCGCAAACATCGAGATGGGGTGAGTCACATTCATTCACATCTAAAACAACAAAACACGATAAATATTATTTTTAAAAACAGGTTCATTGATGGACCCAGGATGCGGACACGTGCCCCTCGTAAACAAAATTAAACTGACATAATCCCATATTGGTACAGAAAAAAATTGTGTAACATGTGCCCTCTTCATTTGCAACAACCCTAACCACAACCGATGCTCTCTTCGAAATTCTTATCAATATGAATTGACATCAATTTCCAACTTTATTCATCAGCCATTACTGTAATATAGCACTTTCAAGTATTCACAAAGTAGGAAACGTAGTCTGTAATTACGTATTTTAGATAGTTGAAAGGGCTATTCACAAGGAACACTGCTTTCTCCAAAAATCAGTACGGTTGTCATGGGCACGCACCCGGCTCGGCAATGAAGCAGGTGTTTCTTTGAATAGAAATGAAGATGGTCGCCCAAGCCCCACGCACAGATACAACATGACGCAAGCCCGCTTGTCAATTTGAATACAGACGATGCCGATAGATTTAATTACAGTATATCAATATACATCGTTTCAAGAAGATCACGACTGAAATGATAATTGGGATCTTCGTGTATACTCCATCTAACTCGACAGGAACTAAATACGCTCACCACCGATAATCCTCATCTATCAACATTTGGAGGTACAAGCGTCTTTCACGATATACAATCTGTATATTAGCCGAGAAACCTGTCACAGAGGTATAACACTAATCGGACAGATATCACGAAACGATTGGTCATCTATCCGACGTTTATAATCTTCACCAGTTCTCAATCTTCACGCTTGTTGATAAAGCAAGCATTTGCTCTCACCGAGACTTTGGATACAAACTTATCATTTATACTATTTGTAAATAGGTGAGGGTCCAGCTATATGTCATCATATTCAAAGTCCTCACTGAATTACATCTCTAACGAGATGGATTATGAATATCTACCACGTTATGAGAGGATGGTGCTCATGAAAGATTGGCAAGAGTTACATCACAACTACAGAAACCTCGAGCACCGCTTAGACACCATGCAATCCGACCTTTCTCAGGTACGACTACGAACTACGGAGCTCACATCGAATCTCCAAGACCATGTCCAGCAGTGTTCTCGCGTCGAACGACGTCTGACGTCCCTGCATGGTGATTTCGCAACCTTGAGTGACGATGTATCTGGGCTGAAGCGTCAGTATGTGGACAGTCGTGCAACGTCGGTGTTCACTACCCAAGAGGAAGGTCTGTCCATTCGTGCGAGCCATTCTATTCGACAACATGAAAAATTTACTCGGAAAAAGATATATCCAATGACAACCTCGGATTATCGCAAATCGGATTCATGTTCCTTTGGAGTTTATTTGGATGACGGTGAAACAAACAGACGACAGACAGACCAATGCTTTGATGAGGAGGTTTTACCCAATTCTCCAACTGTCGTAGATGAACCTGTTGAGTCGTATACTCTCCCGTCTGATCTTGCAATACATACGTTATTGTCCGAGAAACCTAGAGCAGAAGAATTGAACCACTCCGACACTTATAATAAATCGGATGGTCACCTTTCCGTCGTTTATAACCAACACCAGGATAGGAAAATCGTGGAGGAATCGAACATTGGTTCTCACCTAGATTTTGAGACAGAGCACATTCCAGAAGGCAACAGAAAATCTTCAAGTCGGTTAGAAGACGTTACTTTTGAAGGTAACCCTGAGGAAGAATTTGTTTGGGCGGGAGCTGCGCAAAGTGATATACAAGAGTCTTTCCGTCAAGAAATAGGACATGACGATGTAGTACATTGCACAGGATATCTTGATGGTGGAGATGATGATGAATCAGGTTCTTTGTGTTCGGTAGCAACGTATCATCGGAGGGACAGTGATTCAGGGTTTGTTAGTAAGGTACTACACGAGAGTGCTGTCTTACAGAGCTGTACATCAACACCAAAGACCACATCTAGGCATGAAGACACGTCGGTCGACAGCATGCAGTCCTCAGCAGATACAAACATGAGAGTAGAACCAGATGGAGCTGGGGTAACATCATCGCTTGCTACAAGAGAAGCATTGTCCACCTACTCATGGCAATTTTTCCAGGTCTTTGACAGACTTGTGGACCGGCGAATGAGCAGGAAAAGCCGATTGCGCTACGTCCCTGACAGCTGTTCTTCGACAGAATCAACAAAGGAGAGTGGACCAAGCGACACTGATTGGGACACTGCGCATGGTTCTTTGATCGACATGAAACGTCGCTCTCGCCGAGCCATTCTTCGACGGCTGACCATGAGCGAGGGCATGCTAGCTGACCTGCAAACCTTCAGCTCAACGTTAGGTCATGGCCTGAGTGATTACTTCGACACTTCGTCTGTAACATACGACGAGGTCAAGAATCTCTTGTCTTGGATTCAACCTGTCGGACAGGAAGATTTTAGACGAGTAGTGCAGCTTGAAGACGTAGGCCTCAGTGACAGTCTGAGAGAGGCATTGCGCGTTGCAATTGCAACAGTCCATGCTACACTTCATCCATCGAAGGACAGTGAGGATAATGATAGAGATTCGTCCGTCGATCTTCATACAGTCTTATTTTAAGCCATGTTCTATCTCAACCTAATAAGTATCAGCTGGGTTATATTAGGGATGTTGCGCTTCAAATGTTTTTCGTTTATGCACTTTTCCTACTATGTATTATATCTCTATGTAACCCACTGAATTGTATTATCTGTAAACACTTATTTTACATGGTGAATAAATAAAACAAACAATCTATAAGTTTTCTCTTAAAAGTCAAATCAGGATATAACGACATACATGAGGTCCTTTTAAACAGGTTTTCTTTCCTACTGGCTAAAGAAAATAGACAGGGAAACAACGAAAATGTCAGCTTTATACTTAGACAAGAGGGCTAAATATATACCTGTTATCGCTACAAGTATTTGAATCGCAAGGGTAGCTGATGCAAGTAGATGACTTGTAGTGTACACTAGGTTTTGTTACCGAACATTTGATACATCTATCCAGTATTTCGCCAAAGATACAGGGTTAGACTAAAGGTTGCTATTTGTGTTTTATGTTAGGTCTAGTGTTAGGTTTAGAGTTAAAAGGTTAGGCATAGAGTAAAGTCCAGCGTTGCAGTTAAGAATTCGGTTCGTGTAGGAAAATCACAGCAGAACAATTATCGTGACCGAAGTGTGGACCATGAACTCACCTTCACAATGCGTGTTATTATAAGATGATATCTGGAAACCGATCGGACATTCACACCGAAAGCTTCCTATGGTGTTCACACACTGATGAGAACATCCTCCGTTTTCATTAGCACACTCATCAATATCTGCATCATAATTATAAGAAAAGAAAAATGAATGACATTATTTGATGAGGTACGTTTGATGTGACCACTTCATTATTTCTTGGATTACATTTCATATAAACAAAGAATTGGCTGAAATGCAATTGCACTGTGTTAGGAATTATCGAAACCACTTAGAAAAAGTTCGCGAAGACTTGCAAGAATTCATAAATTTCAACTCTGGTGTTTATTGCATATCCCATTAAAAAAATGTTCGGATTACGTATTTGTGTAAATGTCATGTTTGCACATTTCAGAAGTTGAGGGATAAGGTTAGTGACATTGTCTCATAGGTTGATTTTTAGTATAGTCTTTGAGATCGTGTCAAGGATTTTTTTTTTAAAGGTGCAATGGCACTGTGGTATAAAAAATCGGCATCTCTTACGACTCTTAGTTTCATGAAGCATGGACAATGTTTAGACATTAGAAAGCAGCTTGCCTCTGATTTTGTAAAAATATCATAAAGTCGTTTAAGTCAGTAATAATAGTTTCACAGTTAAAGACTAACCATAATCATAAACACCGAATCAAGACTTGATTAAAGGCTTCTTTACCTGTGCAGTTACGGAAATCATCGGCGATGTAAAACCCGTGTCGGCATCCACACACGTAGTGACCAACCATATTCAGACATGCTTGCTGACATCCGCCGTTCTTCTTACGGCATTCGTTCAAATCTAAGTTTTTTGTTGTTGGTATAATCAAAGTGGTTTAGAAACTAGTTCGGTCAATTCAATATTTCAGTTAAATATAATAAGTTCAATGATAAGGTAATGCAAAGGTTTCAGCTTCCTTCTTTTTTTATTTTGGTACCATTGGTTTTTTATAAACAATGATCAACAGTGATGAAACTAGAAAATGTAAATTGTTGACAGCGAGGAAGAAAAAGAAGAAGCTATAAGGATCTTCTATAAGGACTTGAATTGAATTTCACTTGTGAATGAAATGGCAGTATTTTAATAATACGTAGAGAACAGACAATCAAAGATTTAGAGAGAATTAAAAGGCGATAGTGAGAAAGTGTGAAAAAGAGACTGAGTAGCGGGGATGGGGATGGGGAGTAAGAAATAGAAAGAGAGAGATACAGATAAAATTGGACACAGAATGGCCGAAAGAGACTGATAGTGATATGTACCAGAGAAATATGGTAAGGGTAAAGGGTCATACAAGGGAACAAAAAGAGCAAAGAAGAGGGAGGTTGATAGAGAGAGAGAGAGATAGAGAGAGAGAGAGAAACAGAGGGAGGAGATGAATTTAAGAACAGAAGAGAAAGAGAGAAATCGGGCAAACAGATAAACAGAGAGAGAGAGAGCGTTTACTAAATGATTTGTTTAGGTCAACACATCCTCCCTCTAATCACGGTTATTTTGTTATTTAGTTTAAGAAATGAAGTTAATAATCATAACGAGCGAATGAAGGTGAGACAGAACATCGTTAGACTGGAATTTAAAAAAACAAGGAGCACCGTCTTACCTCTCGTAAGGTACTTGGCCAGAAACCTGGTCATGGCCCCATACACAGACTTCTCTTTCTTCACCGAATGCAGCTCGATCCTCAGGGAGGGGCCTGACGAAACCACGCCCACTCGTTTCTGAGACCGACAGAGCTTGGTGATGAGTTTCGATCCGCTGTCTGGCCCGTCGATTAGCTTCAAAAAATCACCATGGCAACCCGTACTTTTGATGTGAGGTATCAGGAGTTCGTTGAGACGGAGCTGCACGATAAAGCCGAATTTGACTTGAATATGCCACATGCTGTCCGTATCGGGCGGGAATGAGAGCGGGTAGTTCATGCTTTTTATGATGCCGCGCGCTGAAGTCAAGTACCTCTTGAAAGCTGTTGTCAAAAGAAAAACAATAAATTTGAATAATTTTTACCAAAGATGAAAAGAAATACAAGATACAAGTCTACTTTATTACATGTAACGTTTGATTAATCAATAAGATTCTTTCCGCACGAAACATCCAAATACATCAATGTAAAACATTTTTTTCTTCATTAAAACTTTATATCTGTTATCATTTTTCTTTATAGTTATGCCTATACCAACAGAATCAATTATATATCAACCGCTAGAAAAGATCAACAATACACAATTTTAGAGGGGAGTCCATACTTCATCGATAGTTGACGGCGTGGAAGCAGTGAAAGTTTGAGAAAAAAACTCAAGATCTATTATTAAAGCATCAACAAACATAATAATGCACTCGAAATTCGCATATAAGTTCAATTTCTTTAAAGCACTCAATCATGGATCCCGCCGAGTGTTGTCGCAGAAGTAGATAATTATGAGGTTGATTTTTTTTATTTTTGAAAATTTATGGACGGTACGAACATTACTTACACACCGATTGGTATCGAGCAGCGAAGCCTGACGCCATGCGATGTCTCTTTCGTCCGGATTTAAACCTAACCCACAGAATGCCCCCATCGGTGAGAATAGCACCAGGTTTGACGTCACCGCAGAACTGTCCAATCAGCGGTGAAAGCTCGCCTTGGCCTTCTCGCACCTCGACGTAAGAATCGTCGCATTTTCCGTCTTCATCGGAGGCTAGGGAGGAAGAAATTATTATTGGAATTATTATATAATTTCTTAACTTCGCCGTAATGATGATTATTATCTTTTTGGTTCAAAGTTGACTCTCATTTATTGCAGAAAAGAATGATAAGAAAAACAACGAATACAAAAACAAATGCTAAAAAGTGTCTGTATTACTTAACTAACACGATGTCAAAGTGGCGAATTATGTTTTTTCCGCATCTCGTACATGATGCAATGTACAAGATAACTTCAAAAAATCAAATATATTGCAAAATTCCATTTTTCCTTTCCCTCTACAACGAAGTATCTGCGCATGCGCTACTTACAGGGCAGGTCCATATCGAGAAATTCTAATTTGAGGGCGGAGCCTTGTGGAGCAGCAATTGACCAATCACATGTGACGTTAGGTGCTACAGCCTGAGGGTAGCTCGGTGATGATACGAACCCCTTTCCGTCGTATAATGTCCCTCCACATTCTGAGAAAATATCGAATCATAAAGCTACAATTTATCATGTGGCATTAATAATAACAATAACAATAATAATAACAATAACAATAATACTAACAATAGTTGGGTCTTAATTACCAAGAGTAGCCACATCTGGGCCACGTTGCATACAACTTACCATTGATGGTAACTTTGCCATCTGTGGTAACTACCATGGTAACAGGGCTCAATAGCCAATCAAAATCAAGCTTTCCATGGTAGTTACCATTGACGGCAAAGTTACCAGGGCCCAGTATTGATACTGCTCTTGATGCAGGCCGTGCAATTTTTCAGATCGGCAAAGTACAATGAAAATAGAGCCGCTCAGTTTCATGCTTATTGTTTCTTTATTATATTCCAGTTTATAGAATCCAGAAAATATAATCATAGCGCATTTAATTATTGACGATGGTAAAAATATTTTTTAAAAGAACTACTTCAATATCATAATAAACAGTTACCTTGCTTGCTGTGACATCTGTAGAGTAGTCTAGCCTGCAGAATATCACCAACGCTTAGACCACGTCGCTGACCGATATCACGATCTTGTTTGGCTATGAGGGTATCTTCTTCACTAACGCTGAACGAGCGCGGACCGTAGTGCATTACAGAGTCATAGTCATAGTGTTGGCCCAAAGAGTTGATCTGGTTAGGAAGAAAAGAAAACTTGATGCTGTAACTCTTGAAAGATCTTAATAATAATAATATTTAATTTTTATACAAATGTCTCTAAGCGCTTTACAAATATACTATTATCCTGGTCACTGGATTCAGTGCTTGCCCGCACACAATGTGTGCACAATTTCCACTCCCTGGGGAGCATTCCAGCCAGGCATTACATGACGCTCACAAACTGTTTGACCAACAATGACGGTCGCATCCTACCAGGTACCCATTTAACACCTGGGTGGAGAGTAGCAAGTGCAGGTTAATATCTTGCCAAAGTATATTAGTGCCGTGTCTTGCGACTGGTCCTATAGTACACAAAGAAAACTTGATGTACACCTTTGCAACTGACGCGACAAGAATGGATCTTTTTTTGCCTGTTGCACACGAGGCGTTATTTGCTGACTCAAGGCTGCGTCAGTAACTATCGAGCGCCCTCTGACGCACCACATGAAACGTGATATCGTACACAAAGTTGAATGCGAAATAAACCATGTACGCATTTTGTTAAACTGGCGCATGTCACTATGAACATGACGGACAAAATATACAGTTCCTCGGGTAGACAAAGGAACATCCATTCACTGGTATTATGTAATAGTAGAACAGGTGAATATGCATGTGACACCTGTTCTACACATGTTTACATATAGCAGTGAAGGGATGTTCCTTTTTCTACCACAGCAATTGTTGAGGGCGGAATGAGGAACTGTATATGTTGTCCTCTTTCTTCGTCCGTCATATTCATAGTGTGTACAACTTTGCAACTGGCGCGGAAAGAGTGAATTTTTTTGAGCCAGTTGCACACGAGGCGTTGTTTGGTGACTCAAGGCTGCGTCAGTGACTATAGAACGGCCTCTGACGCACCACGTGAAACGTGACATCGTGTAAAAAAAAAAGCTGAATGCTAAATGAACACTGTACGAGTTTTTTTATACTGGCGTATGTGCCAATATAATTACCGCGATTTATTAGCTGATGACATAAGGCATCACTTCGATTGAATGAAATATTGCAATGTTCATTTCACATTCACTTTGAGTAAGATGTTACTCTCACACGGCGCGCCAAAAACCGTCCCAGTCGTTGAAACATCAGCAAAAAACGCCTCGTATGCTAGGATCAATTGGTGAGTGAAATGCCAGTTTTGGGAATGACTAAATTTGGAAGAGAATAGAGGTATAGGGCCAATCTACCTACTGTCTTCTCATCGTACTTGTAGAAGTTGTGAAGCTCCGACTTGACGATGTTGTCTTTGACCACTGTCACGTGATCATCCCGATCGGTTCGACTCTGCTCGTGCCAGAACCCAATCACGTGACCTATCTCATGAATCATGGTGCCAAAGGTCATGCATCCGAGTCCCAGAGAGACGTTCTGAGGCCCACCTTGGTGGCCCACGCTTGAACAACACCTGCAGAGGGAGGGACACAATCAAGAATTTGTCATACAGAAATGGACAATTCCAAAGTAACATTAAAGGGGAGTGTAGCTTGGCAAATACTGGTTAACGCCATCTACGTCTTCTTTGGACAAATGCACGTTGCCAGGCTACACACCCTTTAACAGAATTACATACCATTCTGGCTCATAGACGAAAGGACACGTACGTACATTACAATGTTGTTTTGGAAATAGGCAATTCCGTCGTAAACGGGGGTCTAACGGTATTTGTTAAAGTTGTTATAGTAACGGTAACAGAATTTTGTAGATCATTTTCTATGAATATGAGAGACGGAATGACACATTCAAGAAGTCGTTCTAGAGATGGACAATTCTAGCGTAACGGTAATTGTAATAGGAACGGTAACAAAATTATATAGCTTTCTGGCTGAGGAACTAAAGGGACATCAAGAAGTTGATAATTGTGGATAATTGTGGAGCACCAAGAGTGCCAAGTCTGACGGACATGACCGCTATGCATACAAGAACACATTTTTAAATTGTTATTATTACTATTTGAATTAATATTATCATTATTATCATTATTATTATTATTATTATCATTATTATTATTAATATTATTTATATTATTATACCTTTGGTGTATACCTACCCCTGTCCGAGGAGAAAACGAACATAGCCTCTTTGATTGGTTCTTGGTATAAACTGCAGACAGGTGTGTTCCATCCAGTGTCTCATGCTTTTCAGGAGGAGGTCTTTCGTTTTATCTACGACCAAAAATAAAACGCGAGTATAGACAGTGAGGGAACATTATTTAAAGCGATACTGTTACTAGAAGCACTACATCAAAATCTCCTCCAGCGTCATCTCAGGTAAGCTGTAGAAGTATGGTCCCGTAACTCGCTGCTATATTGGTTCTTACAACGAGTTCTCTGTCTACGAAGTGGAAATTGAGTATTGGGTAACGCACTGTTCGCAAGTTAACCATGATATGGCATTGTGCAATAAACAGTAGGATAGGGCAAAACGCTTATCAGTTCAGTATCGCTTTAAATAGTGCTAAATATAATTTTATTCTAAAAAAAGTTAAGTAAATCATAAAATATTGAGATCAGATACCATCCTGATAAAGTAACAGTGGTGCTAGCATTAATGCCACAATATTTGTCAACTGTCTATTGATAATTTACAATTATAACCTGTACAATCAAGTATATTATGTACAAAATTCTGCATCAGTGGCGTAGAAATGGGGGCATTGGGACATGCCCCCATCAAAGGCTCCCTTCCAAATAAACAAGAAAAGGGAGAAGTAGGAGGCAACCTGAAAACCGTTGATCCCTCTTCAACGGGTGGGCCCACGATACACTACTGTTATATTATTATGCAAACCATTTTGTTGAACATCGGATGAAATTCTTCTTCATTCGAATCTGTCAAAGCTAGCATACTTACTTGAGAAATCATTATCGATGGTATATGGGACGGTAGCATTCGGCCAGATGAGGAAGTCGTGATTGGTTACAGCTCGACGATCACGGCGATGACCTCGGTCAGCCATCAACCATTGGACCTTCTTCGATCTTGAATTTAAAGTTTAAAGGAAAACGAAAGCGTAGTCAACAAGATTATTTAAAGCGTATGATCATACATTTTCTCCAAGGACATTTTCTACGGGCTTTATTTTCTTATACTTCGTTAACCCGTTGACTACTGAATTTATTCATTGCCGTAGGCTTAATACAGGGGCTACCCGGTTCCAGTAAGCAATGGGTTAATAATGGTTAGGGTTGACTTAGGGTAAGAGCTAGATTGGAGTTACGCGCTCGGTAAGTTAAGGCGGACGTGTCGTATAATCATAAAGCATAGAGCATGTCAATTCCTTCAAGGTAAATTACGAGTAATCACGCCGTGTAGTACCTATTATCAACTGCCCCCAGATATGTCTGTAATAATACAAACCGCTCTGAAACATCGCGAATTTATCAAGCTCTACATGAGCCCAAAATATTAATTTTTTTTTTGAAAAACGATATTTGAAAAAAGAGAAAACAAAATTTGAAAATGTTTAAGCCATTTATTCATTCATTTATCTCAGACGTACTCCCGGGAAGTACTAGTACTAGAAATATCGAACAATTGTATCCATGGTATAAAAACGAGAGGAGGGGCTCACACCGGCCCGGCCCTCTGCTGGATACGCCCTCAATACTGGATACGCCACTGTGTAACACTGACCTGAACTCGACTTCCCCTGCGTGTCTTGGAGCACGATGGGTGTGCTGACCCTGGTCGATGTCACCTTGTCTTGACCACCGCGGCTGACCACCATCACCTGTTCGATCACCTCCCAGGATGTCCAGCTGGTAGAGACCTGCCAATGTCCATCATGGAATGGGAGAGGAAACGGATGAGCAAGCATGTAAGCAGTGGCAAGGAAGATGTACTCATATCTCCCGATAAACTGCTCTTTAAATCCTAGAGGGATGTACTATTGTACTCTGACATGCTAACAAAAATGGAGGGGTTTATCATATTGACATTTGGGAGCCTAACATATCTCTCATAATAATGCTAATACAACAATAAACATTGGTTGCATTTTAGTTAGTTTTATGGGGGCATAATAAAAGAGGAATATTCGGGGAGGCTTGTATTGTGTTCCCCCTTTTTCCAAATCGTGGAAGGACGCATCCCCCCCCCCTCCCCCGCATTACGAGTTTTATAACTTTTGTGTTTTAATCGTTAGAATAGTAATTCGGGTTTACATAAATTTGCTCGAATTGTAAGATGACACTCCTCCCCCCCCCCCCCCCCCGGCCCCCCCCCCCCGATCAATATCTCAAACTAGAAGACAAGTGATGGCTGGTAAATGGGCCGGGGATCCAAGCAGGGAGGCACCAGCATTTAGACAAATAAAGTTATATCACAAAACAACAATAACAGATGACCACTTGTCACTGTCAGGTGGTCGATCACACGTCACGTGACCGAGACCAAATTAGGAAAACGTGAACACGTTACAAGACCAAGCAGTGATGTCATGCTGAGGTATTATTCAGGATAATTTAACGCTTACAACGCGTCCATACGATGTACTTCTCTGGTTCTGTGGGAAATCTGGGAATCGCTGATCCAATGTAAACAAAGAACCAAGTTTGACTTGGAAATCGAAAATGGAAAATGAAACATGTTTTGGGGTAGACAAATCCCTAGGCTAGACTAAAGCGTAAACACATTTTATGTTTGAATGTTCCTGTTCTAAGTATGAATCTCCCCCACCCCCCCCCCCCTTTTCCTCTGTCTCTCTCTCTCTCTCTCTCTCTCTCTCTCTCTCTCTCTCTCTCTCCCTATTTTCACGCTAATAACAGGTGATAGTCATAACGTTTAAACCAAACATGCACGCCAGGCAAAGATTCCATCATGGTACATAATTATGCGTTTAGAGAAAAGAGACCGCATCCTCGCTTTTAAAAAAATATATAATAAATCCCTTTTCAGTGTTCCTGATGGAGTAATGCAATCAAGAAATAAAACCTGGTATGAACGCATCTTAGGTTCTGATAACATGTGTTCTTAGTGACCTAAAGTGGACTGCGTTCACACGACGGGGAACCCTTCTATGAATGGTTTTGTTCTGTGATATTTGTCCAAACTATTATCAATTATAGGATCAGCATGATGTAGGAAATTGTATAAGCCTAAGGTCTCTTTTATGAAGTAAAACAAAAACGGAAACTAAGACGATACTTCAGACACATGTTTCTAAAGTCATTGCACTATTTGATATATTAATAATAGAACGTTCTGGGGGGCTTAGCCTATTTAGACGAACAAAACTTGTGAACACATGTAGATTTGATGGTTATCGATTAGGAACACGATAAATTGTCCGCTCAGAGATACAAGAGATATAATCTGTGTAAAAAGCAAATGAGTTCTGACTACAAATCATCATCTAATCTGCATTCTCAAATCACGCATTTGGAAATCTATATTTGAATTGCATCGTACTCTCTCTCTCTAAAAAAAAGAGTGAATTTTCACTCTATTTTCACTTTCTTGGGAGTGACGTCAGTGATCACTTGTTTAGGAGTGAATTTCGATTGATTTAAGCGTGCTCTCTAAGAAGAAAAGAGTGAATGTTCACTCTATTTTCACTACATTTTCACTCTCCAGAGGAGTGACGTCAGTGATCACTCAATTTTTTTTAAAGAGATATAATGAATAGGGGTATGATAATACCAAACACTTTTAGAAAAAATATTTTGTGATGACCCAAAATCGATAAATGTCAATTTTAGGAACTACGCCTTGATGTGAAAAAGACCACGAAGCGAAACTTTGGTTGTAGACATGGCAGTCAATGTCATTCAAGTTTTCAACAGGTTTTTATCTCTTTGAGTTATCGTAACTTTCAACAAGATGCCGGTAAGGTGAAACCTGTCCTGCTTTAGTGTGTCCTGGGAGAATTAGAGGAACTTTAACGATGTTTAAACAGATGATAAGTCAGTCATATCAATATGAGTTCAGTCGTTTTAAAGGTATACATCGACGTGGACTTGACTCTCAGAAGAAAAAATAGGTTGGAAAAGCATGCATTAAATACGAGGCCGGGAGGGGCTATGAACTACAACGCCCCCTCCCCGCCTTCTTTCTCTCTCTCTCTCTCTCTCTCTCTCTGTGGAAAGGCGGTGGTTATTTTACCTGACTGCTAAGAAAGCATAAATGCTTGTAAGTAAGCAACCAGAAGGCCGACGGCTTTAGGTCCTCTCCGAGGGACCTTGTAATGAGGATTAATGCCTTACCAAAGGGCACTAGCGCATCGCCTTGGTTTCGAACCCGGGTCACGAGATTACAAGACCACTGCTCTACCGACCGAGCTATCGCGCCTCCTCTCTCTCTCTCTTTCTCTCTCTCTCTCTTACCAGTGCTTGTCACCATCACAAGTCTTCAAATTTGTACTCACAAGTTTGGTTATAGTCACTCAGGGGGTCGATTTTTT